GATGCATATCCTCTTCAATGCATGAGCACTGAGGCAGAGTGAGCCTTGGAGACTCTTGCACATGCAGTGCAATGCTTCCACCCAAATATAGGAGATATGTCAATTCTTCTCATATTTCATTGGCTGCCTGAGTCATATGAACATGTGTAACCTCAAACACTGAGTGAGTCAGGGTTATTCCTCCAATGTGCCTGAAAGGAGAAGAGCAAAGAATACTGGTGAACACAGTACTAATGGCTATCTCTCCTGGGGAAAGACAAGCAAGAAAAAAAAAAAAGATACTTTTAGAAAGGGGTAATGGTGAAATGACAGGATGATGGAATGACAATTAACTGGGGGAAACAGATTTATTTATTTATTTTAAAAAATATGTTTAGCCGAAACCAGTTTGGCTCAGTGGATAGAACATCGGTCTGAGGACTGAAGGGTCCCAGGTTTGATTCCTGTCAAGGGCATGTGCCTTGTTTCTCTCTCATCGATGTTTCTAACTCTCTATCCCTTCTCTCTTCCTCTCTGTAAAAAAAAAAATCAATAAACATTTTTTTAAAATCAATAAAATATGTTTATTGATTTCAGAGAGGAAGGGAGAGGGAGAGGAAGCAACATCAATGATGATAGAAATTCTCGATCAGCTGCCTCTTGGACACCCCCCCCCCCCCCCCCCCCCCTGGGGATTGAGCTCCAAACCCTGGCCAAGGAACCGAATTGAGATCTCCAGGTTCATAGGTCGATGCTCAACCACTGAGCCACACCAGCAATCCTGGAGGGAAACACGTTTAGACTAGGTGATCAGAAACACTGTTTCTAAAGAGGGGTCATTTGCGCTAAGATTCCAATGACAGGAAGCAGCCAGTTGAATGAGGATCAGGCAGGAGCTTTCCAGGCCTGGTAACAGAACCAAGCCCAGAAAGAGCCGCAGTGAGGCGCTTGTGTGGTTGTAACAGAGGCAGTAAGGACATTTCTAGGAGATCTGGTCAAAGGAAACAGATCAAGGCCACTTTGCTTTCCGGGTGAGGAATGTAAATCTCATTTAAAGTGCAAAGGGGAAACAAGAGTTTAAATATAAACTAAAGCTGATTTGCATTTAAAAGTGTTATCCTGGGTGTGGTTACCCAGGAAGAATTGAAGGGGAACAAGACTTTATCTGGAGGGTAGAGGTGGCCTTGGAGCTGCTGTGTGGCTTATAGACTATACTAATTGAGCAGAGGGAAGGAGAAATCAAGGAACGCCTGTGAGCCTGAGCTGGCGCTCCTCAGTAGGTATTGCTGAATAGTAAATAGTGTAAACGTTTCCTGAGGGGGAAGAACGGGAGGATCGAGAGTTCCGTTTGAGCTTGTTAAATTTCACACAATTATTAGACATTGAAGTGAGCATTTAGTATAGGTATCTGAAGGTGAAATATAAATTGGGGATTTCATATAGAATTTATATTATTTTACAATCTTTATAGCCTTAGGGTGGATCCACTTTTAAAACAATTATGTGAAAAAAACACACCCCAAAACAATTAAGTGTATTACAAGAAACAGACAACTAAAATGTCTGTACAATATCTCAGTGTTGCTTGTGCCCTGTAACCTCAGTGCAATCCTGAAAGTGAAATTGCTAAGTTTATGCGCATGCTTTACATTTTTTTTTTTTTTTTTTTTGCATTTCACATTTTTGAAAGGGGCCAAAATCCTTAGAAATGTTTGCACCTATCTAGGCTTCCAACACTGGATATTAGCACACTTTCATTTTTGCCAATCTAATCGTAGAAAAAAAGGGATCTCATGATTTCAATTTGTATTTCTTAAGAGTAATTCTGAGCTTCTTCCTGTTTGCCTTCTTCATGCTCTTTGACTTTGAAGCTGTGTACATGGTCCCCGGGCTTCTCCCAGGTGCCAGACTCGGGTCCGGGTTTGGCGCCGTCAAGCCGCTGAGCTCGCTGTGGGCAGGGATGCGCCTTTCCTCCTGCGCCCTGCGCGCCGGGCCGGGGTCTGGGCGGGTGGCGAAGGGGAGGCCCGGAGGAGCCGTGGAGAGAGGGGGGCTGGGGAGGCGTAGGAAGGACCATCAGCTCCCATCGAGGCCCCGGCAGACCCCGGGAATCCCCGAATTCCCGCGGGGGCCCCTGGCTTCCCTCCCGCGTGGATTCAAAAGTTGAGAAACTCTCGGGGGTTCCGGCCAGCGCCCGGTGCCGCGTGGTCTCCAGGGAGCGGGGGAAGTAAAACCGAAACCTGCCGCCGGCCCGCCCCGCCCCGCCCCGCCGCCCGCGCCCTCCAGGTTCCGGCCCCGGCGCGCGTCCTGCTCCGCCATGGCAAGTTGCTTTTGCTTCGGATTTTGCAGGGCAGGGTCGCCTCCGGGCCGTCTCTAAGGGTCCCCAGAAGGATGGGGGGCTGGTGGGGACGGGCGAGGGTCCCTAGAAGGATGGGGGCCCGGTGGGGGCGGGCGAGGGTCCCTAGAAGGATGGGGGGCTGGAGGGGGCGGGCGAGGGTCCCCAGAAGGATGGGGGGCCCGGTGGGGGCGGGCGAGGGTCCCCAGAAGGATGGGGGGCCCGGTGGGGGCGGGCGAGGGTCCCCAGAAGGATGGGGGGCCCGGTGGGGGCGGGCGAGGGTCCCCAGAAGAATGGGGGGCCCGGTGGGGGCGGGCGAGGGTCCCTAGAAGGATGGGGGGCCCGGTGGGGGCGGGCGAGGGCCCAGGGGTCGGGGTGGGGAGAGCCGAGCGCCCCGGAGGCTCCCCGCCAGCCAAGGCCTCCGCGCCCCTGCACCTGCCGTGGTACCTGCGCGCCGCGGGGGCGGAGGCTCCCTCCAAAGGGCGGGACGGGCCGCCTCCGTTCCCGGCGCCGTCGCCTGGGTCACGGCTGTGCCGTCGGGGAGTCTCTTCTTCGCCGGCCGCGTTAGGGCTTCACTGTGGTTCCTCCTACCATCCCCCCGCCCGGTAAACGGGAGCGGAGGGAGTTACCCAGCCAGGGACGCGAGCTGGACAGGCATCCAGATGGCTGTCTTGTCTGCATTTAGTGATTCTCTCTTGTGGCCTCAGTTCTTTCTCTGGACAAGGGGTCTGTGTTTGCACCCTCTGTGTTGTGCTGGCTAGCAAGAACAGCTAGCAAATTCAAGAGGTAGCCTTCCATCCAGCGTTTGAAAGCAGTGGCAGGGCCCCTAATTCTCGCTTAGACATGCCAGGGCCCCGAAAATGCCCCAGCAGTGTGAGATGCAAGTGTGGTTTGGTTTACTGCAGTGACAACAAACAAAAATAAGAATAAACAGGTGCCATGGACGGATCTAATTCCCTTCCCCCAACGACTTAACAAAAATAAACTCAGTTTTTCTTTATATCTTTTTGGTTTCTGACACGATGGCCAGAAATCTCTTAAATTATATCAGCGATACAGGGAACATGCCATCACCTTAATACGTTCTGGCTAAGAATCCTGTTATCTCTGAGGTGGCTCTGGAAAGGCTCTCGCCAAAGACACCTCTTTACTTTATGGGGATGGAAGAGATTAAGAGCTATCAGGGAGAAGTTCCTTTGATTTCAAAGCTAAATTAAATGTACTCTTGAATAAAGAAATACTGTGTGGCATTAGTGTTAGTGAGGGCAGAGGCTAGGTGAGGTTTTTTGAATGTAAATTGAAAGTTTTTCGTTGACATTGGAGAAGAGCAAAAAGGAAGTTAATTCACTAGTCATGTACCCATTGAAGTCGGTGTGGACTCTTAACAGCCAGATGAATGGTAATGAAGACAAGTCTCCTGTGAAGTAAAATTCCCTGAACATCTGACAAATCTCTCTCTCATTTTGTCCACTGCTAGAAAGGCCAAATTTGAGGTACTTATATCTTACCACGTGCAGCTGGGATGGAGGAACGCGTTGACATGTTTTTACTGTTCAGAAGCTGTTTTCCGCCATTAAATACCTCCCATCCCTGGCTGGATGGCTCAGTTGGTTGGAGCATTGTCCTGTTTACCAAAAGGTTGCCAGGTTAGATTCTGGTCAAGACACATACCTAGGTTTCGGGTTCCATCCTAGCTCTGGGCAAGTAAGCCCAATCAATGTTTGTTTTTGTTGTTTCTCACCCCCTTCCTCTCTAAAAAAAAAAAAATCAATAAAAACATATTCTAGGATGAGGATTAAAAAAAAAATAGAAATACTTTCCATAGTAATGAGTCAATAGATTATCATGAGTTCCCTTTCCAGAAGATATTCCTTCTGTTTTATGTGTCTCAACCTGAGCCATTTTCATCCCTGCCCTTTTTAAGGTGCCTTTGGGATGGACAGGACACTGTGTGTGTGTACTTAGACTATGAACTTGACCTGGGAGGTCAGAAGTAGTTTGCCTGTTATCCCCAGTGAATTCCTGCTCTGAGTACAGAGTTCTTTCAGCGGAGAACCCACAACATCTCTGTGATCTGTTAATCATTACTCAGGCCCGTGAGCCATGCTGTCCTTCCTGGGGGTAAGTTAGGAGCGATTATGTCTGAGCTCTGGTACAGTCAAGCCAGGGGCCACCTATACGCACTGGGCAGGGAAGCTTATGGGTCCACTTCCCTAAATAGACTGGGGACAAATTAAGACATTAAAATAGAAGCCCCTTAACTGGATAATACAACAAGTTCAAAGCGAGTGAGCCCAGGGAAGGACCTACTGGTAGCTGGTACTCTGTGCCCAAGTGTGGTGGCAGGGTCTGCAATGGCAGATACGCTTAGTAGTTCACTTCCACCTCACATATGTGCTCGGAGGCAAGATTTACTCCACTGCAGCCCTAGTATTATTGCCAGGGTTTTATTTATTTTTTTAAATAGTGACTTTTTCTTGATTCTGACAAAAAAGTAGGAAATGTGTTTCTTATTGGCTTATGTATTTTGGACTCTACAACCAAAACATACAGCCATCTCCAAATGAATATATTTTGTGGTTAGCATGGCTTAAAAAAAAATGATTTCAGAGAGAGAGAGAGAGAGAGAGAGAAATCAATGATGAGAGAGAATCATTGATTGGCTGCCTGCTGCATGCCCCCACTGGGGATGGAGCCCAAAAACTCAGGCATATGTCCTGACCAGGAGTCAAACAGTAACCTCCTGGTTCATAGGTCAAAACTCAACCACTGGGCCACACCACCTAGGGTTAGCTTGACTTTTTTTTAAAATTTAATTTTAATTTAAATGTGTCTTTCTTGATATTTTCCTTTGTGCCTTCTGTTATTTTTAGGCATTTCTAAAATCAGACAAATATTAACCAATGTTTTCCATGTATAAAAATAAGGTTCACTTTTTACCTTTAACTCTTGAATTCTTATGTGAACCCTATAATCTATCTATCTATCTATCTATCTATCTATCTATCTATCTATCTATCTATCGTATCTAATCATCTGCACTGGTACATTTGTTGAGTAAATTAGCCTCTCCTACTGGTATGTGATGTTGCCTATATTAAGTAGAATCTTACATATTTTAAAGAGCATCCTATTATTTCTCTTACAGGCATCAGTTCTGAATGTCAAGGAATCCAAAGCTTCTGAAAGAACGGTTGTAGTTGCTGGGCTGCCGGTTGGCCATTTTAATGCTCGATCACTGACCACATTAGTGAAGAGACACTTCCAAGATATCAAGAATGAAGGCGGGGTTGTTGAAAATGTGATATATCCAACAAGAACCAAAGGAGTTGCATATGTAACATTCAAAGAAGAAAAAGGTATTTCTAAATCAAATTTCTGTAATCTTAGAAATGCTTCTGCAAAGAATTAAAAATTAGATTTCATTAAGATGAATCATGGGATTGGTAAAGTTTAAAGTGACTTTTCAAAAAAGTATTCTATTCTGAATATAAAAGTGGCACAATATTGCACTAGCAAGAATATATGTGGAAATTTCTGTGGCTGGTGTGGCTCAGTTGGTTGGGTGTTGTCTCCAGCACCAGAAGATTTCTGGTTCAGTTTGCAGGGCACATGCCTGGGTTGCAGGTTCGATCCCCCATAAGGGCATACAGGACGCAGTGGGTGAATGTTTTGCTCTCACATTGATGTTTCTCCCCCTCCCTGTCCCTTCCTCTCTCTATGTCCTCAGAGAAAAAATTAGAAAGAGATACATGAAGTGATGGTATCTAAAGCCATGAATCACCCAGGAGGTGGGTGTTGGTTAGCAAAGGGATTTGAGGCCTGAGATATAAGTGTGCCAACATTTAGAAAATGGGAAGAAAAGGAGAATTAGCAGATGAGACTGAGCAGGTCAGCCAGTGAATAATAGGAATAGCAGGCAGGGTAGTATCCTGGATTTGAGAAGGTGAAGTCTCCTGTAGGCCATAATTAACAGAGTGAGAGATTAACTTTTTGGTCTTTATTTCCTAGCCATATATAACTGTGTGTTTTTTAAAGTCTGATTAGGATCATATTTATACAAATGAATTTTAATGTATTAAAAGTAGAAGGGAAACTATTAAAGTTGAATTTAATTTAGAGGAAAAATATAGAAAAAAATTTCAGGCATTCTAACTAATAGAGTTGTACATCTCTATTATTATTATTATTTAAAAACTAGTGGCCCAGTGCACAAAATTCATGCACGGAGGGAGGGGTTCTCTCAGCCCAGCCTACACCCTCTCTAATTGGGGACCCATAGGGATTGGGCCTAGACTGACATTGGGACATCCCTCTCGCAATCTGGGACCACTGGCTCCTAACTGCTCACCTGCCTGCCTGCCTGATCACCCCTAATTGCCTCTGCCTGCCTGCCTGCCTGATCACCCCCAACTGCTCTCCGCTGTCAGCCTGGTTGCCCCCAGCTGCCCTCCTCTGCTGGCCTGATCTTGCCCCCAACTGCCCTCCCCTGCTGGCCTGGTTTCCCCCAACTTCCCTCTCATGCCAGCCTGATCTTGCTCCCAACTGCTCTCCCCTGCCAGCCTGATCTCACCTACAACGGCCCTCCTCTGCTGGCCAATTTGGTTCTGATTGGTCGGTTTCTATGCCAATCAGTGTCAAAAGCTCTGCCTTCTAGGCAGCCATTGGCTCCTCACTCTTCACCCAGATTTGGTTCTGATTGGTTAGTTTCTATGCCAGTCAGCATCTCTGGGCCTATCATCGGGGCCTGACTAGAATGGCAGGGCTGATCAGCAGCCTGGTGGAGGCTTGGAAAGAAATGGAGGTATGGCTGCTGGCCAGATTGGGAGAGAAAGAGAGAGGCAAGTGCTGATCAAAAGCTGCCACAGAGGCAATGGATCAGTTCCTGCTTCTCTCTTCAGGCCTTTTTCTGGTCTTGATTTGCAGCCCCCTCAGCAGTCAGTACTGGGACTGCGCCTGCAGCAGAAGCAGTCAGCACTAGGTAGCAGTCAGCACTGCAGGTCTGACTTCCAGTTGTCCGAGCCTCGGTCGTTACTGGACAGTATGACATTATTAGGGTTTTTATATATTAGAATATTTTTATTGATTTTGGAGAGGAAGGGAGAGAGAGAATCATCAATGATAAGAGAGAGTCATTGATCGTCTGCTCCCTGCACACCCCCTAATGAGGATCAAGCCCATAACCTGGGCATGTGCCCTTGACTAGAATTGAACCTGGGACCCTTTAGTCCCCAGGCCGACACTCTATCCACTAACCAGTTAGGGGTCTATTATTATTATTTAAAATAATTATTAGTGTATCAAAGCACAAACACTTCTGATGGCACTATTTCCACTTAGTTGCAGAGAATGTCATCAGAAAAAAGAAACACTATCTAGCAGTGAAGATTGGACCCACTCAACTCACAGTCTCTCATTTCAGTGAAAAGGTAAGATGTGACGCTGAGGGTCGGCTGGTCGTCCTGGATCCCAGTTTTATGCAAAGTGTTCTCCACGTAGGAGCCACAAGGCTCTGTTATCCCACGATTTGGAAAGAAAATGCAAACTCCTTAACCTGAGTCAGTGTTAAAGGCCAACCCTATATCTTAAAAAAAAATTTTGATTACTGCTTGGTCTGTTTTTGTGTTTCTATATGTCCCATGAGATGCTTTTAAAGTGATAGTGAGCTTTTATGCTCTCATGGATGATGTCAGGTATCTACCTAAAAATTCATTTTGGGGAAAAAACAAAAAACCCATGAACATTAAAAAAGAAGCTTTGAAGGTACAGGAAAGGAAGAAATCACAGGAAAAGTTAAAATTCAAAGCATTGCTTTAAACGTTTTATTCTGTGAGAAACCCGGGCTTCTGTGCAGGGATCTGATGAACTTGAAACTTGGGTGCTGTCTAGGGGGACCATTTTACCCACAGAGCAGAACCAGAGGAGTGTATATCTGTGGGTTCTACTTAAGACTTTGTTTCAGTCGAAACCAGTTTGGCTTAGTGGATAGAGCGTCGGTCTGCGGACTAAAGGGTCCCAGGTTCGATTCCGGTCAAGGGCATGTACATTGGTTGAGGGCACATCCCCAGTAGGGGGTGTATAGGAGGCAGCTGACCAATGTCTCTCTCTCATCGATGTTTCTAGCTCTCTATCCCTCTTCCTTCCTCTCTGTAAAAAATCAATAAAATATATTAAATAAAAAAAAAGACTGTTTCAAAAAAGCATTCTGATGTTAACAAATATTTAGCCAGCGCTGTTTTGGGGAATGCAGTGAGGGACTGCGAAAATCCCAAAGTGAACATTGTGGGCTTTCTGGGTTTGTGGGGTCCCTTTGAAGGGCTGCTATGGCGCAAGAAGCCAGTCTGTGCTAGGGAATTGGGGACTGGTGTAGGGTAGCTGTTGCAGACACAGTGGCAGACAAAGATTGTGTTCATGCTGTCTGCTCCACGAGGCAGTGCTGTTTTAATTTCTCTCTCTTTCATTTTAGGTCTTGATCTCTGTATATGCTACTCTTGATCTCTCTGTTTTTCGAGGTCAATTCATTCTGGAAAGTCTGGTGAGGGAGCTGCAAAAGAAAATTCCAAGTTTACGCTTCAGTCCTTTGGGTCAAAATGGAAGAATCTTCGTTCAAGGATCGTTTCTGGCTATCAAGAAGCTCAAAGAATCTTTGCTATTTAAAGCGAGTTCTCTTTTAGAAAAGAACAGGAGTTGTATCAATGAGGGAGAAAAGAGGAGTAGACAGAGCCCCAGAAGGAATCTACCGAGAAGTAATAACGCTTTGCTGTCACCCAGGTCCCCAGTACCCGAGACTCTTAGGCATGGAGAGACTGCCAGATATGGGGAGATGCTTGTTCTCGATACAGATGTTTTTCTGTACCTGAAAAAGAAGAGCAGCTTCTATGAAAGCACTTTGAAAAAATATCATGTGCTATGTCAGGAGAGGGTGGAAGGTGAAATCACCACAATTTGCATAAAAAATGATTTGCAGCCGAACCATGAAAAACTTGCAAAAGAATGCATTGAGAAATATTCACACGCTCTTCACTTTGAGCTTAGAAAAGAGACTTTTGACTTGAAAGGAAAGGAAAGGAGAGAGAGAGGAAATATTGAGCTGGCATGTGAAAAACTAAGTTCGAGGTATGGTCAGGAACTTCTGATTAATTTTAACAAGACACACATTGATGTGATAGGACCTTCTTCTGACGTTCACACATTTAAAAAGGAGGTCTTGAAATTCATAAGGCAAACAGTGAGGTGATAGAATCTCAGCAATAGAGCTGATAATGGCTGCTGCTTTTACTGAGCAGTGAGGATGCCATGCCATTTTATCTCATTTAGTCCTTGAGACCCTCCTTCATTAGAGGCATTGCTATCCTCATGTTTTAGGCCCGCAGTGTTTCCCAAACTTTTGACATATGTGTACCCCTTCTATAATTTTTGTAACGCTGAGTACCCCTCATACTCATGAGAACATAGAATTAGGCACAGCTAAGCACAGTGCAGTGCATATCCCCACCAAACTCCGGTGCAACGCGTACCCCCACCAAACTCTTCCTGTACCCCTGGGGGTACGCGTACCACACTTTGGGAAACACTGTTAAAGGAACTAGGCTTTGGAGAGGTTAAAACACTTGTCTGAGGTTATCTAGCTGGCGGGGAATGTGGCTGGGATTAAACCTAATCTATGTGACTACAAAGATAATATCTAAAGTATAAAACTTTGAAGAAATCTCACTTTCTCTGAAACCCCAAATTCTTAGAAAAGGAAGTAGCTTAAATTCGAATATTCGAGAAGTTCAGATGATGATGATGATGATGGTTATATTGGCAATTTCTTAGCATTTACAACCTTTATTCTAAATAGAATAAGGGTGCTGGCAAGCCCAGGCCAGGTAGTTCAGTTGGTTAGTGCGTCATCCAGATATATTAAGATTTCAGGTTTGATCCCCAGTCAGGGCACATACAGGAATCAACCAGTGAATGGATGAATGGATAGAGCAACAAACTGATGTTTCTCTCTCTCCTGCTTTCTTTTTAAAAATCAATAAAAACATTTTTAAAATGTTGGCAAAAGTCACGAGTTAATTTCTCAAAATCAATCAAATAAAAAATTTAAGAAAATAATGCTTGCAAAAGTCACTTGGGAAGTATTTCTGATGAAAGTTAAATTATTACTTGACTAAATCCCATTGGTATGAGGCTAGTAGATATATAGAACATTTTTATCTAGCCTAACTACTTCTATAAAATGTTGGTTCTGTCATACAGATAGTGTAGCACCTTTTTTTCTTTATCCCCCCTTTTATAATTGTATTGTTAAAGCAACAACATTTGAGGAGTTAGATCCTAGGTGATAAAAATAATAACATGGGTACTGGTACTGTCAGAGGGAACACTTTGTAAAGCATGTGATTGACCACTATGCTGTACACCTAACACCAACACAAAGTAATATTAAAAGCAAACTGTAATTGAACAATAAAGTCAGTTTTCACATATGGAACTAAGAGGAAAGTAAGTCAAATGAAGCAATATAAAAAGAATAACAAATACTACTTGCCAGGCTTAATTTTAAGGGCTTTACATATCTTCATTCGGTTCTGACAGCAACCCTATGATGTGCTGGGTTATGTCCTTTTCACAGATGAGGACACAAGTGTACTGACGTAATAACTTGTCTGTGCTCTTAATTACTGTACTGTGCTCCCCCCTTTTATAGAACTAGTCTCCTACTCTACTAAAGAATTGAGAAGTCTTCCTTAAAAATGAGAGAGGATTTGAAAATTCTTTAGTGAGGAAGGGAAGCCAGGGCTCCTAAGTCATTGAGTTGTATGACTACCCTGTATTTAACTTTGGATTAAGCCAGTTTTAAGTGGCGGGGCCACTGCAGAGACCCTCCTAGGATAATAAAGTGTATACATCTCGCATAGCTCTAATAAACAATCATGCTTAGCATGATTGGAATTGTTTATAGCAGAAAAGATGAAGAAAAACCTCCATATGCTTTCATTTTTCTCAGCTACCAAAATCACAAATATGTAAGTAAGTCCTATTTCTTTAAACACATTTTTTTTTTTTCTGTATGGGTAAACACTTATCACGGGAAATTTGCTATTTATATTGAGTGCCCAATAAACTATCTTCAAGAAGTTTGTCTCAGCCTTAGCTGGTTTGGCTCAGTGGATAGTGTTGGCCTGTAGACTGAAGAGTCCCAGGTTCGATTGCGGTCAAGGGCATGTACCTTGGCTGCGGGCACATCCCCAGTGGGGGGTGTGCAGGAGGGAGCTGATCGATGTTTCTCTGTTTCTAACTCTATCCTCCTCCCTCTCTGTAAAAAAAATCGATAAAATATAATTAAAAAAAGAAAAAAGTTTGTCTCAGTTTGGGTCCAATCAGGAGAGATGGCACACAATAATTTGAATAGGGAAAGTGTAATATGAAGAGTTCCTAACTATAATAGGGCATTGAACTAATGAGGGATTTATGAGCAAGAAATAGAGAACTAGAAAATATAGGAATAAAAGATATAAGGAGCAGTTTAAACAGCAACCAAGGAAGAATTAAGCCCCCTCCGAGAGCCAGTTCTTGCTGGAGGGCTTGTACTAGGGCAAACTCATGAGTCTACAGAGCCAAATACTAAGAGTACAATGATTGAAATTTCTTTTGAGAGCCAAATTTTTTAAAGTAAAACTTCTAACACCACTTCTTCAAAATAAACTCGCCCAGGCCAAAGTATTTTGTGGAAGAGCCACACTCAAGGGGCCAAAGAGCCGCATGTGGCTCGCAAGCCGCAGTTTGCTGACCATGCTTATCATGCTTATCATGCTAGGGGACCTTGCTGAAAATCCATCCTTTAGGGAGTATCTCACCAAAGGCATTCCATTACAAAATGGCTAAAGGGGTTGTTGGGATGCCAACACTGGAGAGGCTGCCCATGGTGCATAAGCCTGATGGTGGAGCAGCGCCCATAATTCAGAAACTGGTGCTGGGAGAGCTGGATCCGGGGCAGCCTGCCTGGTGAAATACACTGAAACAGGAAAGAAAGACCTTTCCCTTGCAGTGACTCTCTGGCGCCCTCTGCTGATAAAGCTTAGATCCTGTCAGATACAAAAGAAAAATCTTTCAAGGGACCAGATCTATTTTTAAAAAAATAAATCTTTATTGTTCATATTATTACAAATGTTCCTCTTTCTCCCCCCAGCCCCCCCTTAATTGCTCTCCTTCACCAGGTTCCCACCCCAGAATTATATGAATTGCTGAAGGGGGTTCTTTCGGAAGAGAAAGTAAATAAAGATAAAAATTATGAACAACAAATACGTAACTATCAACCAGACCTATTTTTACAGACTATGCACTTAAGATGGATTTAAAGCTGACCCAGTAAATTAATAACTGGAAGAGTTATATTTGATACCCACAAGGCTTTCATTATTACCAGATATTGAATACGAACAGAAAAGTCTTTCAGCAAAGAACTGGATCAGAATAGTGAATCTCATTCCATGATCTGATATAAATTAAATACTCATTGGATTTAAAGGAACTCATACAGCATCTTCTGCTTGAGTAGATGATATATCTTAGGTGTTTTTAGATATGGCTGTCCATGTCAGAGTTTATTTAACAGCACTCTTCTTATAATATGCTGGCTGTGTAACCAATTTCCATCCTTAACCCCCCCACCCCCCTCAAGCAGAAGTACTGATTGTTATTACAATTTATTTTTGAGTATTACTGATATCCAGGCAAATGATGTGAATTCCATCTTTTTATCAGGCCTAAATCCTGTTGTATGTCTGCCATTGAGAGAAAAAACTTCCATTTAATTAGATAACAAGCTGATACTTTTCAGATTCAGAGGCTGCAGGTAGTGAAGAGAGCCATTACCAATGTTTAAAAGAATGCAGGAGTTTGAGATCATGATGTACAAAGAAAAAGAGTGGGAGGAAGGGCGCTTAGGCATTTGGGTAAGAAACTCATTCAGAAATTTTTGCTAATAAAACCGGTTTGGCTCAGTGGATAGAGAGTCAGCCTGCGGACTGGAAGTTCCCAGGTTCGATTCCAATCAAGGACATGTACCTTGGTTGCAGGCACATCCCCAGTAGGGGGTGTGCAGGAGGCAGCTGATCGATGACTCTCTCTCATCGATGTTTCTAACTCTATTTCTCTCCCTTCCTCTCTGTAAAAAAATCAATAAAATATATTTAAAAAAATTTTTTTTGTTGATCTTATCCCCTGGGACACTATTTTGCTGTGCTCTGAAGACACAGTGGGACATAAGATAGAAATATTCACCAACTCAGAAGTGTGGCAGAGAAGGCAGGCAAATAAGCCATTTCTGCAGGTTGGCTGTAGAAGTACTTGGCTTTGGGTGTGTGTATGTGTGTGAATTCTTACTGAGTCATTTCCAACTTATTGGCATCATTCTCATACAAAAAGACAGTGTATGTTCAAGTTTTCTTTACCTTAGTATTGAGGAGTAAACTAGCAGAATGACAAAACTGGTTCAAAAAGAACACAAGAAATGGAATTAAAAGATCACTGGAGAAAAGCATGTTAGTAAAGATTGCTAACCTGGGAACAGAACTGATCGATGTCCTGTAATGCTATAAAATTGTGATTTGGGAGATTATTTTTGCTGTTAAACAGAAAAGAAAATATTCACACTTTATTGGTCTTTTTTAGGAATTAAATTTATGACCTTACAGAGTTGTAAAATGTCCTCATCCTAATCAATGGTGATGTTAACTTACATTCCCCAAAAGCCATGACACACCAGGGGGGTGTCTAGCATGGCATTAAAAGGTCTATGTAATTACCTTTTGTCTTATTTCTGTGTTTTGAGTTATTTTCTTTTTTTATTTCTTTAAAAAATATATATATTTTATTGATTTTTTACAGAGAGGAAGAGAGAGGGATAGAGAGTTAGAAACATCAATGAGAGAGAATCATCGATCAGCTGTCTCTTGCACACCTCCTACTGAGGATGTGCCTGCAACCAAGATACATGCCTTTGACTGGAATCAAATCTGAGACCTTTCAGTCCACAGGCCAACGCTCTATCCACTGAGCCAAACTGGTTTCTACTTGAGTTACTTTCTTTAACAAGGGTCAGGTGAAGCTTTCCAGAGGCTGAGAGAAGGGTGAGGAGGGAAGGCAATTCAGCACTTGGTTTGGTAGAAGAGTATACCAAGTTTAGGGATGGCTGAATTTTTTAAAAGGTTTTTTAAAATTGATTTCAGAGAGGAAGGGAGAGGG